AGCGCCAGCCAGGGTTTTCGCGCATCAACATGAACCCGCATCATGCGACCACGGTACGGTCACCGAACTTCCTGAACAGAACTGGCATTGTGTTTCCAATGTCAACCTCCAAAGCATTTTGCGGTTTCCATGTAATTGTGGGTCACAAGCGCCTGGAAGGCCGGAGTGCAATAACTGCGTTTAAAAAAAATTAATCAAATTGCACAGCACCCTGCCCCGTGAACTGTTCAACGCCTGTGGATTTGTTATATTTGGGTCGCCTCCGGCAAACTTTTGTAAGTTGCGGCGTTTCACTCATGGCTGTTCACACTCAATAGTTTGATGTCCACGTTGGAACTTCACTTTTTGTTGATTGTTAGGCGTTTGTGTGCGTGCTCGCAACAATTCCAGGCATGGCCTACGAGATATGGTGCCGCTGGGCGCCTGAAGACAAGATCCAATAGTTTGAGAGAACTCCTTGCACATGTCAGCTTTGATGTGAGTGTTGCAGACCATGGCGGGTCTTTAATTCATTGTGCGTGCTTTGATTTTGTCATTTTGAACCGATTGATCTCATTGGAGTACTGTGGGAACAGAGCGGGCGATTCAGGCACCAATGCGACCAGCTTGGGCGGGGCCCACACGAGTTCAGGGTAGGTGGGTTTTTTTGGCACGGTGACCATTAGTCAAGGCCACCCCGAGGTGCCAACTTGCCAATGTAGGTCGGAAATTTTTGTTTGTGGAGTGAAGGTGTATGTTGCATATGTTGGTCAAGCGGCGGCCGCGGAATGGTCCTGGGTAGTTTTTGTGCATCACCATCCCATCGAAAAACCGTATCCGCATAATCGGTTTGGAGATGGGTTGGCACCAACAGCCCTTTTCTGTTTTACAGCGATATTTTTGTCCAAATGCCGACAGGTGAAACTTTCCAAAATGAGATCACGGAAAAAGTGAATTCGGGGGTGGTCCACCACCTCGCCGCCCATGCCCACATCCAACTCCACATTGCCAAAACTTGCGTTGGAACCTTTCCGATACACCACCCCGGTATTGCCACCCTGTCTTTGCCTCCCTTCAACCCGACAAGGCGACATGACCTGATGGCCTGGGGGTCCCACTTGGCCATCCCTACACCTTACCACCTTGAAGCCTTGTGGCTACTCGCAGACCTCGCCGACTTTCTTGGCGCAATCGCTTGGACCGTCAACTCGGCGGGGCTCAGACACCAGCACGCCCCCGACCGAACTCAGGGCAGTTTCGTCACTGCACCACCACGACGGCCGCCTGCCTGGCCCAGCTTGGCCCACCATTGCCCGAGGCGTCCGACCTGATTGGCGAGGATCCGCCCCCAGAGTAATGGTTGGCAACAACCAGCGGGGCCACCACCACCACCAATGAAAATTCATTCCACTTTAAGATTTAAGTTCAACCCAAACGGCCATTTTATTGCGACTTGACCGCTGCGTGGCAAACTCGAGACCTGTGACCGGAAGATGGCGAGAAACAGCGCCCGAGTGGAGAGGTCGTGATAGCTTTTGGTGCATTTAATAACTTGTTCGAGCTTTCAGCACATGCGGTGCAATGGGTTGCCCGTTTTTAGTTGAGTAACAGCCTATCATCGGTTGCATTGTTGGCTGGCATTGGTGGGCCTGCTTTCGCTTTGCGCTTGTGGTTGGTCAAAATTTTACGATGAACCCCGAGAACGTTGTGCATATCAGACGCTACCCGTCAATGTGCCCTGAGATGAGACAGCCCCTCTTCGCTGCTGTGAGAGGAGAAAAACAAAGCGCGCCAATGCCTTTTTTCCTCAGCCCGCTGGATTTGGACCAAAATTGCGATGTCGTTGACATGCTGCGGTCGGCCGTGACCCCTGGCCATGCACAGGCCTAAACAAAACGTTTTGCGGCAACGACGGGTACGCTCGCCAACCTCGGACGGCGCGCCAGACATATTTCCAGTCTCGTTGCCCACACACTTGTTGGAAGATCGGTCCATGACTTGCATGTTCCTTTCAGGTTCCTACCCGGGCAGAGGAGCGTCCCATTCTTTGAAGTCAGCCGTAGGTGGAATTTCTGATTTCGATGCCTGATTTTGATGTGAATTTGGATCCGTGCATGCAACCGGGACACTTGTCATTGCCCTGACGGGGAAAGATTTTGGGGCGTGTTTGTTTTCAATGCCGTTGATGCGTTAGTGAGCTGCGAACGGCACCCCCCAAAGGCAGCCACCCCACGAGCGACACCTTCGAACCATTGAAGCCGGACCGCCTCCTGCGTGCGATTCCTGGCGCCGCAATGCCGCTTTTGCCTTTGTATCCTTTGTGTCACTCCAGTTCATAACCGCCAGTGCTTTCAACGTTGCCCTTCTTCAGCGACACTGCGGCTTGGCACGTTGAAGGTGTTTCGCAGGCTGAGGGGTCCCAAGTGCAGTGGCCTAACCCTAGCCGTCGACGTGTTTTTGTCAGCTCAAGACACTTGTTGGGAGCCGCCAATTTTCAACAGTGGGTATGTTGCAGTTGCCTTGATCCTGTGTGCTGGGCGTGCATCTGTCGAGGCCTATTGTGTCCGGAGCCCGGTTGCCAGGTGCTAGCAATGCTTGTAGATTTAACATTGCTCATCATTTCTGCGCTGGCCTGGGCCGGGAGGGAGGGCCCGAACTGGTGAAAGGGGACACAGGCGAAGTCATTGGCAATCACTTCGACCCGGTGGCTTTCTGTGCTGGACATGAAAAGGGGGTTCAAACCAGAGAGGAGAGACCCGTCCACGGGTTTCCTGACAGATGGTGGCGGCAGCTCTTTCATTTGGAGTGGGAAAGCGCGGTAAGGGAGAGTGCTGGAGGAATTCCAACACGCGGTCCTGGTCATTGCCATGGCTGCGCCCCACCCTGCACATCCGGTGGGCGCCGGTATTCAAAAACCCAATGCATTTGTGCAGGCTTGGGGCTTCCAGTGCAAGAGCAGGTCCGGAGAAAAGGCAATTGGACACCGCTGCTGGGCACTTCGCACCAAAAACAAGAAGGATACCGGCGCACTATAGGACTTCACGCTCCCATGCTTGTGTCTCTCCGCTTGTATTTTTTGCGCCCTGACGCGGTGACATTGTTTGTGGAAAAGCTTTGTTCACAAGAAGAAGCGCAATCCCAATCTTGGCCGCTGACGCACTTGAACGCCTCAGTTTTTTTTAAAGTATTTTCTGCCGATTGTTAAATTTTGGCACATTGGCCAATGGTTGCGTTGCGTGATTGGGAGTGTTGGCTTTGATGAACCATCAGATTGCAGCCTCATTACCGGTTGCTCCTTTGGATGGGCGATGTAGGGTATCTCGATCCCGGGAGTTCTGGGCTGATCGTGCATGGCGCCTCGCCACATGGGGAAGCGTGGTGCTGCGATGCCACCCTCGTCTCCGCCCTGACGCGTGGCGGTGCCCCCTCCCTGGGGCCGCTGACGCTGATGGTGTCGCGCTCCGCCGTTCTTAGAGGCGCAAACGCCGTCGGTACCCTGAGCTTGCAGCTGGAGGCCCGGAACGCGGAGTCCTTGACCTTCGTGCGCCGCCTCGTCCGACTTCGCGCCCGGCGCGCCCCCCCCCGTTCTTTGCACCGCTGCCGCTCCCGGGTGGAGCCGCCGCTGGTGGGGCCTCCTCGGCGTCGCCCTCCAGCGCGCCTTGTGCTCCTTGCTGCTTGGGGACGACTGGCGCGCGCCACCCTGCTCCATCGGCTCTGCAGAACTCCCCCCCTCGGGGAATCCTGGCGCTTGCCGGGGCCCCGCGCCTAGCCGGCTCCCCCTCCGGCCGTGAGCTGGCAATGCCCGGCTGTACATAGCGTGAACGCTGCTCTGGAAGAAGGAGAAAGAAAAACAAATAGTTGGATGTTGATCACGAAAGGTAGCGGTTACGCTACCTGAGTTTTCCTTTTGCTTTAGCAAAAATGTATTAACCCAGAGCTGCAGCCTATCTCTCGGAGAAATGGTCCCCGACATCTTCGTTTGCTGGCGGGGGCCCCCCCCCCCTTCAACTCCACCCTAGCGCGCCTCGGGGTCAACCGTTCGAAAACACTATAAATATCAGTGTTTTCAGCTCTTCCAGTCCTCAGCAGTGACCAAAAATCATGGAATTTACAGCGTTTTTTGTGGCTGTCCGGCAAAAAACACCGCAAAAACCGATGGTTTTTGATGCGCCTCGGTTAGAAAAATGACCCAAAAAAAGACCAAAAGCCAGGAAAGATTTTGTCAGAAAGGGTTTTTGAGGCTTTTGGAGGCTTCAAAATTGCACAAAACTATGGTATTTACAGGGTTTTGTGCACCTTCCCGGCAGAACTTGCCGCGGCTGTGGATCGACGGCAACGAAACCTCGTAAATACCAGTGTTTTTGAGCACGTCCTGTTTGCAAGCATGGCCTGCGGCCACGCAATTTAAAGGGTCGCCGCACGTCACTATGTAAATCCGAAGTTGCATTTGAGAAATATGTGACTCTTTTTGAAGGCACGTCAACCTGTATTGAAACCGCTAGACCGCTACAGCTTCTGGAGGTTTTGTCAAGCGTTTGTGCATTAGTTGTTCTTTCATCACGCTCACTCACTTCTCTTCAAACAAGTGGGGGGCCTCTCACCTCCTCCCGGATTACGCCTGATTCCCTGCTACCTTTCGTTCACCCCCCTCCTCTCTCAAGTGTACAGATTTTGTGGCATGCGAAATGCGTCGGAGATGTTAGTGGTCTTCCGCATGCTTTGATTTCGTGGCAGGTGCAGTGAATTGTGACCTTTGTCCCCGCGGCTGGCCTTCAGAAACCGTAGCAGGTAGAGTTTTTTTGGGCCCGGCAAGTTCGTGGCAAGGGCCTTTTTTTTTTGGAGGTCGTGAAGTGCAGATTTCATGGCAGGGGCCACGCCTGGTTAACTTTGAAATGCTGTACTCTTAGGTTTTGACGTGCAGATTTCGGGGTGGCTGCAATACTTTTGAAATGCAGAATTCGTGGCAGGGGCAGGGTTGTGTGGATCTCTTTCGGCTTGCAAACCTCGATCCAGCACCATCCCCGCCATCACCACGACCTCCACTTTCATCACCACCACCACCTCTCTGGAACCCAAAGCGTCTAGATCTCCAGACTTTCTGCTGCTACATCACTAGGCCTCAAGCACACTGTTTCCTTTGCCGGGATAAATTTGTACCTACAACCTTTTTCGAAGCACGGTCTGAGGGACCTGGGTTTGTGCCCTTTTTTGGTTTTCGACTTGTTTTCGTGCTTTCCATACAAATTTGACACTGTGGCTGAAGCAGCTAGCGCAACAGGGCGGGTGCCACACCCCAGCACCCCGGCAGCAGTTGCCTGCAACCGAATTGGCGTTGCGTAGTGTTCAACATGTAACATGTTCCCAGGTGCTTATGTTGAATTTGGATTATCCATGGGAGCCGGCGTGAGCAGCTGTTGCAGTTCCGCTCTCGCAACTTGTCCGCTAGACATTGTTTTTTGGCTCCTGTTATCCAAAGCAGTGTTGGGTTTGTTCATGGTAGCTGTGCAAAATGAGGAATCAAATGAACTCCATGTACAAGTCGGGCCTCGAACCAAGTGGGTGCAGCTTACACAGAGTAGTTCTCAGAGAGACCGAATCTGGACTTGGTACCGACGACTCTTGTGCGGTGTAAGGCAAGAGGCATCTGTTTCCCAGACCCTCAGTGGCAAGATGCAACTGCTTGGTGGTAGTTCCGAAGTCTGTTCAAATCATTCCCGAAGATTTGAAATGTACTGTGCATAATTCATGGAGGGTTCCGTTCAACCCGTCACCGGATCAGTTGCTGTCCGAGTGTTTTCAGGATGGTTTTGGTGGAGGCCTGTGAAAATCTTGTTTCTTCCAACCCAAACCAGTTGTTGTGCAGGCGAAATCCTCCCGCTTCACTGCTTTCCGCTCCATGACAATGTTCGGCGGATTGCGCCAAAAGGCTTCTTGCACCGCACATTGCCGTTTTTCATCGTTTTTCCAATGTGGGATCAACGTGCGAAGTGTGAAGTTGCTACCCGCGTACGAGGCACAGCTTGGGGACAATGTCGATGAATTGCCGATATGCCCGCTTCATGGTGTCTCATTGAGTTTTATGCAGGACGGAGGGGGCAGGCTCACAATGGTGAGGCATGTCGTCAAAGAACAGGAAAGTACAGACTCATTGTACATGAATCACAGTCCTTGCTGGTGGGTTCCCAGAAGAACAACAAATTTACCTTAGGAGTGTATTGCATGATGTTATTTTCATTTGAGGGACTTGGCATTTGATGTTTCAAGCGTGGTTGCCAGGAATTTGGCGCGGCCAACAAGACAAAGGTGCGCGTCCATTGCGCAAAATAACCCTGAACAATTTTGTAGCATGCTGAGGTCGGCGCGAAAGACTATTCTATAGGCCCGCTTCCAAAACTTCAGGCTGTGCGATTTTAACTGCAATGTGATCAGGCGGGCTTTGCGTCAAAGTTATCAAGCCCGTTACGATGTTCAAGAATGGCAAGTGGGTAGCACAGTTTTCGTGCAGTTTTTGCATCATTGGTGGGTCAAAACCAAAATGTTTTTGATTTGTGCATATTTGTGTGTGGCATTGCAGCTTTCAAGGCCGTGTTTGACAACGGAAGAAGCAGACACACTTTTGTCTTATGCGGAGGCATGCGGAGTGCAATGACAAAACCCAACCACAGGTAGAATTATTGATCTTGCAAGAGTTAGGAAATGGAAATCTTTGGCACAAAGCACTGGAATTTGTTGGGTTTTTCTTGTTACTTTGATGTAATGTGATTGTGGGCATGCTTCAACTCTGTTCCTGTGAGAGGTAGGTTTTCGGGATGACATTACTGATGAGAAGAAGCGGCCAGCCTTTGTCGACATGGCTTCTCGGCAGAGTTGATTTGAATGCAGACTCGCAAAGAACTAAGCCCCTTGCATCATTGCAAAATTCTGCAGCTGCAATTTTCCAGACAACTGTGTCGAAACACTTTTTTCAAATACATTAGTTTTCTTTCGTTTTTTTTGCATACTCGACACTAGACTATGCTCCCTGGCATGTTCCCCGGCTCAGGCAATGCACTTTGTTTCCCATGCCTGGAGGCCGGCCACCTTGCACAAGGAAAATGTTGGAATTCTGGAGTGTCAGGTATGATTTTGCAACCTTTCTAAGCGCTCTGGCCAATTGGGACTCCCACCAAGGCCATCGTTCATGCGTGCAATGAACAACTTTGGTAGATGCTTCGGCTGCGGGGTGTTGACTTGGAGAGAGTTGCGGGTTGCTAGGTAGGGATGAATTTACCTACTTTTGGGTTGATGCATTTGCCGGCATCTCAGTTTGTGTTTTGCAAAGTGCCAATGAGGCTATAATTAGGCAAACTTGTCACACTGTAACAAACAAAAACAAACTTGAAGGTCGTCAACCAGCACATTGCTGACTCGTATCCCATGGAATGGTGGTCGACTCGGTTTGCTCAAGCTGTTGGCGACTTGGCGGCGCAACTGTTTTGGTGCTTTGCAGACCTCAGGGAAACCATTTTCAGAATGCACGACTACAGGGAGGTTAGAAAACAGAGGAACGTTTCCCAAGGGAGCTTGGTCAGGATTCTGGAGAACAATTTTTCAGGCCTGAAGGTGACCGGCTTTTGAATCATCCCTCAACTTGCCAATCTATTGCAACCATGATGGAGCGGAAGTGGCTCAGCAACTAGCAATTATGGTGAAAAAAATTAAGTGCAACGCACATTCTGCAGGCTCTGGACTTTAAAGGGCGCTCACGTAGAGACTTTGCAACGTAACTCTGGCTTTTGGTTAGACAACGTGTGCACCCTCCACACATACACACACAGATATCGCTGATGTATGCGTGAAAGAGACCGTGTCCTGGCCTGGGACCCTCGTGGTGCAGGTTGGCAGGGTAGTTTCTAAGCTGAGATGTCCACTTTCACGGATGTCCTTAAGGCTCATGGCAGGAGCTTGGGGCCAACCCCAGAGGGCATTAGAAGCCGTGCTTCTTGATGGCCAGCCTCGTGAGGATGGAGGTTGGATCAGCTGCGCCGTTGGGCGGGATCGGCATCCGTCACCTGAGGTGGCGAAGATGAGGCTCAAAGAAGCACCTCATCAGTCTTTCACCAATTACGAATGCAAAGACGATGACGGAGCCCAGGCACTGGAGTTGTCAGGCTGATCCTGTGTGGGAGGACCAGGGCAGGTGCATCTTTGCGCCTGTTGCGTCTCCCATGGCCTGCACGGCCTGCTTCCATGTTTGCGATGTCGCCCCAGCGGTTGCAAGGTCCATAGTTTTTTGGGTGACAGGCTGGAGCTCATTCATGTTGGTCCTGGAAGGTAGCTTGTCCCCTTAATTGGCACGCGCTTTGGAGTCAAGGTTCAAGGATCGCAAGGTCCAGGCAAAGCACCAAGACAAGAAGAAGAAGGCCAAGAAGGCCTCATCCAGCTCGAGTTCAAGTGCTGAATCGAGCACCCCCAGCCCAGGGGGGTGATTTGTTGTGGATCGTGAACTCGAGCCCGGCCCTCTTGCCCAACGCCGTTTGAACAAGATGTCAAGGTATCTTGCCTCAGGCCACCGTTGGAGCGGAGCGTGTCTGGCCTACCTGAACCAAGTGATCCTGCGCCCGCCGTCTGAGCTCAAGCTCAGGAATCACCCTGAGCTTGACGTTTTGGTTGGCGAATACGTTGAATGATTACACCTTGGCGGCCATTCATTGGGCCAAAGCCAGGTTGCCGTGGCCGTGGAAATTGGTAGACACCTGGAATCAACTGGAGGTTCCGCTTGGTGCAATGCAACACCTTTTTCAAGACGGTTGCTGCTCGCTTTCGCTGGACATGTTTTGAATGGGGTCAAGAGATCTTTGCTCACTTGTTCATCGTCGCTTGTGCTGATATCTCTCTTGGTCGTGATCGTGCAGTCATTTCTATACCATCCTCAAAAGGAACAAAGAAGAACTTCTTACAGCTCGAAAGACTTGAACTCACCAAACAAAAAGATTACAGAACGAAAGTGCTGCCATGGTACATTTGGATTGTGGGTTGCTTGCGCTTGTTCAATTGACACTTTCCCCTTCTGCTCCGCGCAGGTCCAAACAAGGATTTGCCCCTTTTCAAATCAAAGGGCGCAAGCTGAGTTGCTTGAAAACCAGCGCGTCTCAAAACACACAGTCTCGTGAAACTGCAATATATATATATATATTAGATTAATATATACATATATATACACACTATTTTGGGTATTTAAAAATATGTCGATTTTATTGACTGCCCGCCTTTGGCACTGCAAGGGGGGAATCTGAATCCGAGCCGCTCTTATTTTGCTTTGACGTGGCCCAGGTGATGTTAGAAGCACCATCCTGGTGTCATTGCCTTGGGAGGAGATCAGTCTGCATGGCAAGATGAGTTGAAGTGAAGTCGCTTTGTGGTATGCTCTTGCAGGACCCTATTCCATTGAAACGCGTTTGGGTGATTTGGGAAATTTTCTGCACGAACCAGATGGGAGCCCGCTTTGACATTGCAATGTGTGGCACCTGGTCACGAGTTCACTGCCCGTATGGTAAAAGGAATGGCAACAGACGGATATATATATATATATATACACACGGCAAAGGACTGCGCAGCTACCTGAGGCCAAAGGACACAATGGATAATTTCAGAGAAGTTCCTTGGATGCACTTGCGCCAATTTATATTCTTGGCCTTGTGCATTTGTTTTGACAATCCTGATCCAGTTCCTGTGCAAGGCATTGATAAACTCCTTCACCACCGTGCAGACAGCACTGAGTGGAGTAGACGTTGGTTTAAGCTCTGCATATCACAAAAGTCACCAGGCAAAGCATCGGAGCGCCGCCGCAAAGCTTCAGTACATTGCTACACTTTGTTTGGGTGTTATCAGTGAGCCTTGTGTGTGTGTGTGTCCAGTGGTCCTTCTTCAGGAGATGGTTCATGATGAGATCCGACGGACCATAGGCTGCTCGTTGGCATAGTGCCTAAAACGGTTGGCCAGTCATGAATCAGTGGAAACGGTTACCAAACTCTGCAGTGCATGGTAAGAATGCAGAATGCCAGTCATGAAAAGCTGGATATGACCGGATGCATGGAGCAGCGGAATTGCAGGTGGCCTCGTCGTGTGAGTACCACTAGTGGTCTGACAATTTTGCAATGGCAGACCTGAACGGGGTGGTAGTATGTTGCTGGAACGGTAGGTGCCCACCGCAAGATGACCTCCGAGCTCCCATATACAGTAAAACCATTTCAGCCGCAACAGGAACTTTGTTGGCTGTTTCATTTGCTGTGCTTTTCATCGGGTCTGAGGATTTACCAAGCTGAATGAAATGGTGCAGCTTCGTATGACACGCTGGTTGACTGGAGCAGCTACCCGAGAGCTAGACGCTCAGTGGATCTCAGCGAAGGGGCCTTCACCTCCAGACGTGAAGTTTTCTTCTGACACAGGCTTCAAATCATGAAGAAAGCTGCAAGTGCAAAGAACAAAAAGGAGCGAATCGGACTCCAGGACGAGGGGGGAAATAACAAAACTAAACCGGTGGTTGTTACGCTACATACTCAAAAGGTTTTCAACATTGTGCTTTTTCTCGCTGGTCATGGACCGGACAGGACAACCTTGGTCGCATGCTGCGAGAGAGCGGCAATTTCGAAGGTGCCGAGTACTACTTCAAGGAACCCGGAAGCACTTGAAGGGTTGAACTCAGTGGACTTCAGGTGGACCACCAGAGGCCTCTGAATTGTCATGTTTCTCGTTGAAGGAGCTCCTCCAAGAGATCGAGCAGACATACGGAAAGGATCATGTCAAATCCTCAGAATGCCTACTGAGGCCTTCCATTCACTGCGGCTTTCCTTTGCGCTGGGACCCGAAGTCATCTGCAAATATCACTTACTTTCGGTCAGAGCCAGGCATTGGCGCTCAGCTGCCTCAATCAGCTTGCAGTGTGCATCTCAACACGCGCAACGGAAGGTTGCAGAATTTACTGCATAGCAGTCTCAATTCTCCCTGACGTTCACCTTTCAACCCCTGAGAATGCAAGAGAAGGCTCATGTTGACACAGAGAGGTCACTTTGCAGAAGGCGAATCACATTGACGAGGCCAGGTCAACAGAAGCTTCAGCAAACTATACGGGCCACATGCTACTAGGAACAAGTGCATCGCTTCTAGTAACAAGTGCCTTACTAGTAGTAACAAGAAGCTATTGGAATTCTTGTTTCTAATAGCTTCTTGTTACTACTAGTAAGGCACTTGTTACTACTAGCGTTTTGCCGATCTAGGATTCCAGACTGAGTCGTTCTGACTTTCGAGAAGGCTTTGCAGAGGCACCGAGACTGTCTACAGCGCAGAAAGCGGGTTCTTGGAGAGAACCATGAGGACAGACGTTTGCCGTGAATGTGAAGCATTCGCGAAGCAGAAGCACGGCAAACTCTTCAAGAGCAAGAATATTGCAGCGATGCTTCAAGCAGTGAACACATTTAGGCTCCCAGATTGCATCGCCATGCCTGGACCATGCCGCCATCCCAAGCAGCAGGAGACGTTACAGAGCGTTTCCAACTTGGCAGTTCTTCTAAGCTTGCATCGGCGAGGATCCAAGAGCATTGAACAGTGCATTCCAGAAAAGAAGACTCAAATGTGTTTTCGTTCTTTTTTTCCAATGCTTGGAACCACATTCCTTGGTACTAGCTGCTGCCAACATCTCTCTCTCTCTCTCTCTCTCTCGCTCTCTCTCTCTCTCTCTCCATATCCACCTACCTATTTGTTACTTGCTTGTGAGCCTTGCAGATGAAATGCACAGACGCACAAACACCCAGTCGAGATAAAGAACGAACAAAAGCAGTTGTGCTACCCCCCGAAGGCCTGAAAGGAAACACTTACTGAGTAACATTGAGTGGGTCCAAGTGTGTACCAGACCAGACCAGACCAGTGGGTAAAATTGATGTTCTGTTCTGAACTGTGCCAGACCAGTAAGAATCGCACATGGTTCCAGAATTGCATGTCCGTGCATGGGCATGCTCACACACCTCCCGCCAGAATACATAGCTTCATTGGGTACGGTTTGCAGTCTGGCGCTGTAGCTTCCTGCAAAAGCAGTCTTGAAGGACACTTTTGACTTCCAAATTGACAAAGACACACTCAGAGAGTTGCTCGCAAGAGCTAGGATCAGTATGAAGTTCCACTTTACGTGCATTAGACCTTGACTGGAAAAGAATGCAAACAGAAAGGCGGCGGATCCGAGAAACTTGAAGATGTTGAACAGTGTTGTTTGAACCTGGGTGAAACGAATTAAATTTGGCAGGTACGCTGGGATGATATGTCCCAGTACCACCAGGAAAGCGAGAGTGTCTTCGTTGGTGGCAGACTCTCGTTCCTGCTGCCACCTCCTGCTGCTTAAAATGAGAAGTCGTGAGTCGAAATCCTGAAGTAAGGCGGGGCTTCATCAAAGCAAGGATTAGCTATGAGAACCTTAGGAACAGGTGGCGGCACACACAGAGGGCCGGGGACGGCGCACTCTGCGTGATATTGCTCTGAAAAGCGAGATCGACCGAAAACCGAAACTTTTCCTCTCAGGGCTTGATGACAGCTGCGAAGATCATGTCCTTTTTGGACGTATAGGTCTGCTAGTTGGGCAAGCGCTCGCTCAACAGCCGCGGACGGGTAGGTGTACTTGCGGATGAGGTGGGCTCGGGATTGTAGGCCAGAAAGTCGTAGTCGAGTGGATCCAGCTGAGGCATAGTCACGTATCTTCCATGAAGCGTCCGGTGGGATGTAGGAGATAGTCCGTTGACGTAGATCGGCATCAAAGCCAAGTAGGTGCATGTCTTCCACGGGTTCTAATTCCACTGGAATGCCGTAGAAGTCCGGGTGGATCAGCGTTTGGATGGCCATATGTTGGAGGAAGATGCTATTGAAGGCGATGAAGCGATTGTCCACGTACCGGTAGTATATAGACGAAGTGGATCTCGGTGTGGTCAGTCAAGGGATGGTGAAGTTGATGCCATGAGTGTTCAATGACGGTGATGGCGACATTGCACAAGGCCGGCGAGAGCTGAGAGCCAATCCCGGCTCCTCGGACCTGCAGGAAGTATGAGTTGCATGCTTTGAAGATACATGAGTCTAGTGCTAGAGCTACAATCGTAGTGATGTCGTCGGTGTAGAGTGTCCGTTGTGTGGGATGTTTACGGTGATGGCGGCCAATGTGGGCAAGCTGGATTGGATCTCCGGTTATGTGTGTGTCAACCGTGATGGTTGGGGTAGGAAACGTATGTTGCCAGCGGTTGACAAGGCTTTGGACAGCCTGGATCAGGCGATCTTGGGGGACGGAATTGAAGAAGCCAACCAAATCATCGTTGATTGCGTAGAGATCCACTGACACGGGTGTGTGCTGAAGGTTGTCATGGAAATGGTGCCAGAGTTGGGGAGTGGAAAGTTGCCCTGGCGACTGCGGTAGGAGGCGGTAGATCATAGTGTTGAGTACTGAGTACGTTGGAGGTGACACGTAGAAGTGGGCCGTAGCAGGATTTGAAATAGGATATGATAGTGCGACCTTTGCGCCATTGCTTCTTGCCTTTCAAGTGGACTACTCCGTATGGCATTTTGAACTTGGTGTTGAAGCCCCATTTGTATTTCTGGCGAAGGTGTGGAGGAAAAGTATGTTGGATGATGGCGGAAATGGTCTGGTCTGTATCATCTGGTAATGGTTGGAAGAGTTCTGGAGTGTGCCAGGTGGCTAAGCATCCACGGAAGTAGATGTGGGGGCAGAAGATCCGGAGATGTTGTAGTTCATGATCGGCATGGTGAAGGACAACTTTGTCGCCTAAGAATTCTTGTAGCTGCTTGACGGATCTGGCGGTGAAGCGGTCTTCGTGCTGAAGTTGGAGGTTGTCATGTTTCCATTGGGCGGTGAGGAACACGTCAAAGTGATGGGACAAAGTAGTGGGGAGTCCATGATGTCGAAGCCATTTGTGTAAGCTCTTGTGAACGGAGTCAAAGTAGCGATGTTTGGTGGGAAAGAAAGTGCTGTTCATATTGGCGTTCAAAAATCGGCGGAGGTGGACTGGGAGTTGTAGGTCGGCGAGGGTCACGATCAAGTGTTCGTCATCGGGGAATTGAGAAGTGGGTAGCGACAGGGTCCCACACGGGAGCTGATCAATGTCCGGGGGACTGCCTATAGTAGTGTTTCCCATCGCCGGTGGTTGTGTAGGCGACTGCGTAGTGTGGGGTGGGCTGCATATTGCTCTTCGGTGGTGTGAGATTGCGAAAAGTCAATGCTTGGTTGAGAATGTGGAGAGCTCGGCTTCGTCCTGGTTCTTCAAGGCTGGTGGCCATACGACGAATGGCGTAGACTTCAAGATCTGTGTATTTGCCGGAGCGGAGCTGTCGAGCGGCGTCGAAAGACGCTCGTGTGTGTTTTGTGAGGTCTCGGAGGATGGTGAGGGCGTGTAACTTGTGTGCTGTATAAAGTATGGGCTGGGCTGTGGATTGTAGTCGTCGTCGTAGTCGTCGAAAAAGGTGGTAGTGGTTGGCCAGGCGTGGAAAGAAGTGTGCTCGATGCCTGCTAAATTGCCATCAGCCTGCTTTGAGTTTGAGGTGCTGTGAAATGTAGGGCCAGTTGAGTGTAGGTTGCCATCTGGAGATGTTTAAGTGTTCATAGATCCAGGCCTGGTCATAGTCTGGGTAGGTGGCAATGTGGATAGTGGAGAACTGGGTGATGGTGTTGGTGGAGTGCCAGTAGCGGAGGGAGAGTTTGGCTGAAATGGGAGTGTTCTTGGCCAGCTGTTTGAGCTTTGCTCGGCGGTTGTGTTCTCTGCCGGGTATGCCGATGGCAGTAGAGCCCACATAGCGGTGGCCGTGTTGGTGGTAGCATCGTTGTGTGTCGTGGGAGTTGAAGAAAAGTTTGACGTAGACTGAATTGGGGGCAAGAAAATGGCGGGAAGTAGAAAATGGCTGCCAAATGGAGTAAGCCCACCGCATAGATGGCTTCCGCTCGTTCAATGTATTTGGCGTGGTGGTGAATGTGAGATAACCTAGACATGCGTTTCGCCAAACTTTGTTTGACATCTATACGTTTGGCCTTCATCAGGTCATTTGTTTAAACTTTCTCATTTGATTAAACTTTCGGGTTTGGCCTGGCCCCTGGAAGCCCGGAAATAGCTTGTGATTTGATGCTAACCACATGCTAATTATGATTTCTGCACATGCTGGAAATAGAGAAATAGCTTGTGATTTGATGCCATCCACATGCTAATTCTGGTTTCTGCACATGCTGGATATAGAGAAATAGCTTGTCATTTGATGCTATCCACATGCTAATTCTGGTTTCTGCACATGCTGGATATAGAGAAATAGCTTGTGATTTGATGCTAGTCGCATGCTAATTCTGGTTTCTGTACATGCAAATAGGTTGTGATTTGATAGTAGTATGGTTTCTGCGCATGCTGGAAACACAGAAATAGATTGTGATTTGCTTCTAAGCGCATGCTATTTTTGAGGGAATCACAGTACTAGCGATGTGGGACACTGATGTTGGACATCGCAGAAATCGTTTGTGGCTTAGCGCATGTGATACTTGTTTTTTGGACATGTTGGATCACAGAAACTTGCGGTGGGGGGGGCCATAAGGTCACACCTGGTTTTTGGACATGATGGATTGGTGAGGCTCTAATATTTGTAAAGTATCCACAGGAAACCTACTAGGATTATGACATACTCTAATGTTGGAAAGACGGGTGGACAGAAACAGTTTGACTTTAAATCTGTGGTGTTTTTATTGGGGTGGTGGACCTTTGAGAAGGGGACACACAAGAATGAGTCACCTTTTGGGAGCTAAGCGTGTTTCAAGATGTCTCCAGGAGTTTTAAATTTGAGCAACTACTCCACTCGCAGTTTTTTAAGCCGGCAATGGGGCACTGTGGGCATCAGTCATTGAATTACACAGAGCAAACATCACACCTCGTTCTGCAAATACTCACCAGCATCACCTAGCCATATAACATGTTTCAGCAACCAGTTTTTCTTCAGCAAATCACTTGGCGGATACTTTGTCGGATACTTTTGGCGAATCACTATGCGTGATGGATGGATACTTTGTCGGAGCTTTGCAGTGCCAAGCCTGGTTGGGATGCAGGACTGATCAGTGCCATAATTGTGTCTTACAATTTGTCCGTCAAGGCTTGGAATGCGTGTGTTGATGTATGCAGCCAATTTTTGGCTTCTTGGTGGCTTAAAGAGATATGGACCATAGCTATTCTGTCAGTGATGTGGCAGCTGAATTTGCCAAATACCCGCGGCTCAAAGAAGTTTCTCGGCAAAGTGCTTGTTTCTTGCTTACTCGAGGTGTTTCCCAATTTGCCCAAACATATTTTAAGTTCACCCGTTCTGCAGGTTGGTTTGACGTTCCTCACGGACCACAGAGGCAGAGTGATGAAGCGGAAAGGGACGAAGCAGGTCACACTACAGGATTGCAGTGCGAACAAGGAAGAGCCTTGGATTTGTTCATCTCATTCATCCTCTCAATTTTATGAGACCTTTTCTGGATACTGTCGCTTTTTGATAGGCAATTTTAACAAACACATTTTGGAAAA